TAATATTTTGTACTATACTTTTAATAACAATTTACCTCCTTAGTTTAACCCTCTCATATCTTATAATAATTTATAGTAATCTACACGTATTTAAAAAAAGCCCACTCTTATATTAATAACTTCTGTGGTTACATAGATATGAGACTACAAAATTATGTATATAAAGCATAGTGTAACTTCCTTTGTACACATTACACAGACTCAATTCTTGGATATACTGTAGATATATAAGCTCTACTATTATTACAGTATTAAGAGTTTAGAGTATCATAAATCTTAGTCAGAGGAAACTGTTGTATTTTTTATTATCAAATAGTACACAAATACACAAGTAATTGATACATTTAACATTGTATTTGTGTTATGAATGAGTTCCAACTAAATTTACATTAATTTTAAAGGAATAATGAAGAAATTTGGTTAAGAATTGAGTAAGGTACAGAGGAAAGTGTGTGCTCACTGTATGAGACAGTGAGCTCAAGGTGTGGCAGGTGGGGAGGGCACAGTTGCCATATAGGGCACTCAGCATACTTATTTTATTTTATTTTATTTTGACTTTACTATTTAAGTCTAGTATTAAGTACAGTTAGGGAGAAAAGCTCAAAAGGTACCTAATTAGAGGGACTACAAGGGTCTTGTACACCCTCTAATTAGGCCCCTTACAGTATGTCCCTCAGGTGAGTTGTGTATGAAGGTGCCAAGAACTAAACCAGTGTCATTTCGGAATGGTCAACTTACGTAATCGCCATTCAAAACCTTACCTTGCCCAAATCGCATCTAGGAATAAATGATGATTGGTAACGGCTATGATTATTATTCCTCGACTGTGGAGATTATTTTACACCTAACAAAGAGATTGTGAAGAACAGCCCATGCTTATTCCTGATAAAACTTATGCATCTAAGGTCATTTTCAGTGTTGTCAAAGAAGCAAAGTGTCTCACAGGGTCACAGCCTAAAGAACCAAGAAGACTTCTCTGCAGATACCGTATGAGAATATTTCATAGTACTTTTACTGGAACAGAAGAGGTAGAATGTGATTATAGTGCAGAAACATGTGTAGAACTTTACATAGCCGAGAATTTTGCTTATCATGGAATATTGCTAAGTTCTATATGTCCCTCTCACAATCATATGAAGGAAGACATAATCATCAAACTGCAGAAGATGTAATATGTAGAGTAAAGCCATCGACTAAGTTACACAAAGAAAGCTAGTACTCTAAGAGGCTGTACTTCAGGGAGACTGTACAAATCGCGAGTGAGGCCTGGGAACTAATTGATGGAGCGACACTCCAATGCAGATTCACAAGGCATTGTGGTGAGGGAGCAGAGCCAAGAACTCGGTGTTAGTTGTAGTCATCTTCTTCCCTTCATTCAGACAATGATGCAATGACAAGATTCTACGAAAGTTAGTGCTGGATGCCAGTGACAGAAAACTTGACAATGACGACGATGGAGGCGCATATATATGAAGCCTTAGTGGTGGATTGATGGGGCGGGAATAGCCGAGCAAGCCAAGATGCACAGCTTTCGTCAATTGCTCCGCGTCAGGTCTCTCGCTCGCTCTCTTTCTTCGCCCTTCACCGCCGTCTTGCTCTGCGACGTTCCGGACAACATAGGCAAGGGCGCTGCCAATGATACTTGCTGAACGCCTAATGTTCGACGTCTAATTTGTCCTCCGTCTCTTGCGCTTCAGCTTTGCTAGTACCAGATAATCTTTATCGGTGTACAGTCATGGCACCTAAACGCAACTTATTTCTTCACCTCTCGGCTCTCTCCGATACCGAATTTGCCACCTATGTTGAAGCACTACAGGATATTATGGATGCTGATGATGGCGATGGTGGTAAACCGATGTTGTCGGACGAAGAGTTTGAAGGCCGGCGAGTCAGCATTCCTGTAGTACGAGCATGGATGAAGGGTCGTTTCCGAGACCTTGGCTCTGCCGAGATCGACAAGGTAAGCAAATACTACACTGTCCAGTTACCGGCTATTTGAATTCTAAGCTCTTGGAATGGTTCAGGTCTTGCAACTCTTTGCATCACTTACACCGCAGAAGGAGATGTCGGGTGGACAGCTTCTGGCCGCATTGCGTCTCCTCATGCACGCTCGACATGGTCAAGAGATCTGCGAGGGAAATGTCTTTGTCCAAGGTGTGTCGTAACGTGAATTACTTGAATTAGGCGCAGTCTAACTATGTTTCATTGTGTATAGCGGATCCCTCGTCCCCAGCAACATCTCGTATCTCTCCATCGTCTTCCAGTGCCAGGACTATGGTCCGAACGGACTTTCCCACAACTGATGCTCCGCCTTCGCCTCCAAAGACGGTACCTGCAAATCTGAATCCGTTTTTTCAAAGAACCAGACCGCCTATCCCTCCTCCAACCGACCTATCCACAGACCCCCGACGCGCATCACTGTCTTCTGCATCCGGTCTCCCTCCAATATCTTCCAAACCTCGCGTTGACGGAATAGGAGTCCCACCAGGATCAACAAATCCCTTTCTCCAACGCGCAAAGACGCATTCTGGAACCTACGAGCCGAATCCATCTGGTTCTGGGCGGACTCCTCCCCTTCCTCCGCGCAAGCCATCGCATATTTCCTCTTTAAATGCCTTCCCTAAACCTCCTCCTGTTCCGGCGAAGTTGGTCCATTCGGTTCCTCCTCGCCAGCCGAATTCGAGCGCCTCCGTCTCATCTTCCTCAAACTCGCCCCCGAATGCTCCTTCGCCGTCAGCTCACTTCGTGACTCCGCTTATGCAGCAGTCGCTCCTTGCCTCGCGTGTCGGCGCATCACTCAAACGAGCTCAAGACGAGGCCGAGCGAACACGAGTTCTCGAAGTTATTCGGTCTTCTGCTGACTCCTCGGTTTCACGTGACCGTACTAAGAGCCCGAGTCGCAGTCCAGATAAGGGAACACGAAGACCTGTACCTCGTCCTCCTCGAAAACCGACAATCTCCTCTGCAAAATCGGATTCAGGTGCACCAAGCGAAGCGAGTCTCGCGGAAGTAGCAAGCGCTCGGTTGACTGCGCGATCACGCATAAAGCCGACATCACCTGATCGTATTTCTATCAACTCCAGTTCGTCCTCGGAAAATGAAAATGAAAACGAAGGAGCGAAGACACCTTCAAAGGGGCGGCAATTGTCGACTTCTGAACAATTTTCTCCACCCCCGACACATCCTGCACGCAGACCTAGTGCTCGCTCTTCTTCCAGTCGTGGTCGACATGTTCGATCTCCGTCGTACCAATGGCATGGTAGTAACTACCCTTCGTCTGCTGCTACTTCACCTTTTACAAAATCATCCTCCGCTCCTGGTAGTCACGATAAACAGTCATCATCTCCTTCTCCCTCGCCTTCTCCAGTCTCTCCTGTAAATTCTCGTCCTACACGCTCGCAAAGTATGCATCAGCCCTCGTCTCCGTCGGATCTGACGAATACTTCTGTTTCTCTCTTACCTCCTCCACGACGTAAACGGCCCGAGAGTGCCCAGTTCCCGACGCGTCCGCGTGTATTAGATACCGACCATGACGTCTCCGGCGATCTCGACCCCTCTTCTCCATTCTCGAACTCCTTTGGCGTGCAACAACAACAATCTCGGGCAGGCGGTGGAGGGATCGTCAATAGCATGGCTGCACGATTCGACAAAGTATCATTTCAGCTCGGTCGGGAGAGTGAGCCAGAACGAGAACGAGAACGAGATAAGGGGGAGAAGCATAAAGATACCTTTGTGTCTCTTCAACGGACGTTTAGCGCTCTCCAACAGCGTGCTGAACCTGCCATCACACGTGCACGGTTCAAAGCCGAAGCAGGTATCCTCGCTCCACGTCGAGGTTTCGTACCGAACGGAAGAGACTACCACATGGCTGGCGAGGACGGGGATCGTCTCGTCAATCAAAGTGACAGCGAGGGTAATGGAGGCGGGATGGACTTTGGTGCTTCGACTGACCAAGATTATGAAGAGGAAGACGTTAGTGGTGATGAAACAATTCGATTTCGTGGTCGAAGCCGGAGTGAGAGAACGAAAAAACCTGTATTTGAGAGGGACGATTTAAAGCTTCCTGAGGGTGAGGGATGGACGAAATTGTAATATTTCTCCCATCGTTATAGCTTTAGTTAGTTAACATGCGCCAGTGCAATTTTCGATTTTATAATAGGACCCGCAAAACCTCGTTTTCCGGTTTTCGTTGCTGCAGATAGTGATAAAGGATGGTTATAGTACCAACCTATTTTTAATGTTGTGTTTGACAAATTAGTTTGTCAAGAATTGAGTAAAGGAGACGTCATATAGTTCGTTCGAGAAATGGAAACGTTGATAATGTATTTTTAATCGTCCTCAGGCACCAGTGCTTTGTCTTGCGTTAAAATGGTTATTGCGAATCCGTTTCATTGCTCGGCTACTTGCACACGATGCGGGCAAACACAAGAATATAAGCTGTAATATAAATATCGCATTCGACAGGATTTAATGCTTTCCCACAACCTCGGGGCGTGCACACACGGTCATTTATCTTATTTTCGATTCGAGGAAGTGGAAAGGTCCGATCCGGAAGCTATTGGTTTCATTGCTATCAGTAGTTAGTCATGTATATCGACTAACAAAGAGTTAAGGTTCTTTGACTTCTATTGTTCCATATGTCTTCCAGTCCCTCTACCGTCTTAGTATCTTTGTTTTGGGAGAGCGTATTTATGGCGTAATACGATATTCTGAGTAATACAACAAATATCGCACTTGTATATGTCACTTAAAAACAATAGAGCTATTCAACAACCGCAGTATACACCACAATCTCGGCTTAGCATATTATGGTAATGGTATCGAGTCGAGAAGCAAACACAACAGAACTCCAAAGATCGCTAAGAGAACCTACAATCGGAAAGAGACTGACCCAAGCAAATTATACAGAGCTTAATAATAGCGTCATGAATGACTTCCTCAAACAAGCACAACTCCAAGCGCAAGACCCATGAATCCTAGAGCGACACTCAGTATGTCGTTGAGCTCGATAGCAGTTGCAGCCGACTTGGCGAAGCTGTGCGCCGTGCTCTTCGTCGCGGTAGAAGTCGCAATCCGAGTAGCTGGCCTCGTGGGATGCATGGTAGAGCTCGCTTTGTTAACGGAGCTGCCACCCGCGGAGGCGACGTTCGTACGAGGGCCGCCAGCCACTGGGGGAGCACCAGAGGCTAGTGATGCATTAGTAATTCATGTGGGTAAAAGTAGATACTAGGCAGTTCGCCGCTCACCTGCGGAACACTTTCTCGCTCCAAGGGCCTGAGCCTGGGCTGCGGCAGCAGGGGTACAAGTGGTCTGAAGACATGTCATAAAGTCGGTCTTGAAAGTCGGCGACTTGCATACGCAAGTAGTATCGTCGCTAGTGAATTGTTAGTGTTCATGTATATACTTAGGATTATGCCGCAGCCTTAAGGCACTCACGCGTTGGCACATCCTGCTTTGGTGGCAGATGTCTGGGCACATTGGGCAAGGCAAGGATCGACAACGTCCGTGCTCGATGCGACGGCGCTCGATGTAGTCATGGATGGTGCAGAGGTCGTCGCCGCTCCCGCAACGGAGGCAGTGTTTGCCTGAGCATGTACTATGGTAGCGAGAGAAAGTACCAAAGCAGTGGCGAAGAAGAGAGGTGACTTCTTTGAGAGTAGCATTTTCGAAGAGGGTGAGAGCAGTAGACAGAGCAGAGTGGACAAATGCGAAAGCAGATAGAGAAGAGTGCTTTAGATGCTGGTCGCAGTGAAAGAACTACTGCTAGGGAAAGCTCATGCCTGGCTTCTTATATACAGTACGAGAAATAGTGGCTGACGGTCCAGACCAAGGCCTTCGGTGAAAGGTCAGCCAGACTAAAGTGCCAGCCTCGATAGAAATATAGAACTAAAATTGACGTCAGGTACTTGCAAGGACTCCTTTTCATTTTTGGAGCAGTATGATAGTCCAGGGAATTAGACCGCGAGCAGAGGACACGTTAGTTGCGACGATTGCCTACTTGACAGTCTGCTTTCGAGAGATCGAAATTTGAAAACACACAAAACACTACGAGTAAAGCCGAAAACGGCTGAGCACGTAATCCACTGACTACGTAATGATCGACGCAACTGATACACATTCTCGTTCTCTTTCCGTGTCTTTACCATGAATCAACCAACGCAAATTACGCAACCATGAATTCACCAATGCAGAATAATGATCACCTTTAGACATAATAATTATTTTCATACAAACGTGATTCCGCTTACGACCGGAGCTCTCTCCAGACGTAATCTGTTTTCCCTTCAACCTCTGCAATCCCGACTTGCCTACTCTCCAGGTCCGAAACGATGTAGTATCTGATCACTAAAGACATCGATTTAGATGGAAACGATTCTTCTTGTCTAAATTTACTTACTCCAAAGCAGACCCAACAATATGGGATGGTCATCGAATGGGGTTATTATACTGTTGAAGATGAGATAGAGGCGTCCAGGTTTTACCGCTGGGATCCAGTGGCTGAGTACGCTGGACGGAATGACTTGTGCTTCTTTCGGAAGAGTACGCGTTCTTCCGCCTTCGAAGTTCAACTCGATGTCTTTCAAGGAGGAGCAACTCTCTTTGGTTAAGTAGTAGAGTCGCAAATCATTTTGATACTCGACACTTATGTTGCAGTTTGGGGTTTGTTCCACTGCCTTGATATAATTTTCTAGATATTTCTGTGGGATGATGATAAGTGGTGAACCACTGTCTATTAGCGTCGAGTAGTAGCAATCAGTGATATTTTCGCCCTCATAGGCAAGTTTCATATTTAGAGGTAGAATGTGTGTTGCGCTCGATTCATTCATGGGAGCCCATATCGGGTCTCCCACTTCGAATAAGTCCTTGTCGTAATTACCAACATGAACCTCTCCTTGGACATATGCACGACTGGATGCCTCTGATGGAATTTTTAAATTAAAGCCAGCTATTTTGGATTTTGTGCCCAATTTCTGCACTAAATTGTCGAGGACAGACACAATTCGATAATCTTCATTACCAACAACCAACCCTTTTGTCCCTGCTGTCCGCCCGAAGCCGAGGATGCCTGCTAAATGTAAATCGCTGCCCGTAAAATGGGTTCTGTAATCATTTTCACTGACAAGCACAAATTCCTGTTTCTCGATTAATTCTTTTTTGGATCCAATGGACACTGCGCTCCTGTAGAGATGACCTTGGATGCCATCTGCTTCTTGATAGTCCATCATGATCTTCTTTTTGCGGTCCTTACCCTTGCTTGTCTTACTTTTACTGCATATTACTTTATAAATGTTTTCGCTTATCCATGTCACAGGGGATTCTGTGTCAAACAGCAATTGACATGGAGCCGTCGATGGATTTATCCCGAAGCATACATTCGCCCAGGGACGAACAAAACTATTGTATGTGTCGAACATGATCGTGGAGATAGCAGTAGGCTGCTTGTCGTGTGTGGATGCTGCCATGAATGACTGCCTCAAGTGATTTCCTTTGTTGAGAATACGACTTATTGAACCGATCCGCTTTTTCAGTGACGTCTCCATGTCAGTATTATGTGCTTTCTTAATCTCTATCTCTACCACGACGTGTGGCATTTTGACCGAGCCCGCATTCTCATCCCCGGAGTGCGTCGTCCGCTCGGAACACGTAGTGGATCGAGACTTGGCCCTGCGTGTTTCATCTTCCTTTATTACGTCCTCACTAGCACGGACAGGGGTGACTTTGGATGAATCACTCGTCCGCTTCGTGAGTTGGGCACGGAGTATATCTCTGGAACGTCTGTTTTTGCCGGCTCTCTTGGTATTTGAAGGAGATGTCACGTCTCTGCTGCTTGCAGTCGTCGGCCTGTGATGCGGCCTGTGATGCTGTCTTTGACCACATCCTAGGTTCTGATCCTTGCTCCCTTGTTTTCCACTCATCGATGGTTTTGCGGCAATACTAGTCAATGTGAGCAGGTGTAGGAGCTCGCCACATGATATGTCATATCCAATGCAAGCAAAGCGGAGAACATCAATCATGATGCATCGACCTTTTCACTAACTCGTTTTGGTCACCTTTGATCTTACTACTTCGCTTACATATTGCCGAATTCGAAGAAACCGACGTTACTGCATACGTCTGACTGGCCTAATAGGCCACGATAATCAGCAGTGAAGTATTGATAATAAGAGTAGGTGATATTTAAAAGGCTTACAAGCAGAGAGCTAATATTATTCGACTTTGCCCTAAGTAAATGATGCAGTCAACTGGTCACGAACGGCACGACGCTTGAAACCACGGATTTGCAATACTGACTGCTGCAGAGTGTCTCGTGCAGACTTTTTCTATCTGAGACTGCAAACAATTCAAAGCATACTGCAATTTGGGACGGAGTTACACACAGCTCTGGTGTCTTGTACTGTAAACAATACAATACTGCCGATTACCAAGGGAGCCGTAGAGGAGTGGGGAGGTCCTTTCCAAGAACGCGTTCAGCCTCGCCAATATCTCTGCAATAGATTATTATTATTAATGTACCATTCATGCCAGTGGAGACGTACCTGGGACCACGAGGTGCCCAGAATGAGCCTGTGTCCTTGATGGATAAGTTCGCAACAAAATCAAGCACCGAAGCGGCAGCTTCCGAGGGTAGGACGGCTGAAATAAATGCAAAATAATATGAATGAGCACCTGGAACGGATGAACTAACATGCGAAACTCACCTCCTCCGGAGTCATAGAATTTGTCAAAACCAACGTTCTTGGTCATATCCGTTCGCATAAATCCCGGCTAAATAATATTGTGTCAAGAATTTTTCTCCTATAACATCCGCACGGCATTACTGACATGGATCATTACAACGGCGACGCCGTCATCGACAAGATCGTGGGACAAAAGGCGTCCAACCATGTTAGCTGCAGCCTTGCTGGCATGATGGCCATAGTTGCCACCTCCTTCCTCTTTCGTACGAAGAGCAATGGAACCGCCTTCGGTCGTGATGAGGACGAGCTTTGCACCTGGGGCGAAAGAGTTCGACTTGCGTCTTCAAATTGATGGATCATCGTTAGTCAATGTAAGAAGCTTGAGTAAAACGAAAAGACAAACAGATGGTGAGTAAGGAAGACAGGTGCAATGGCGACTGTTTTATACATGTCGAGCTCATCAGCAAAACTCGGTTTCTCGAGAGTCTATGCATTAGCGTATCTATTTTAAGCGTGACAAACTACTTTGACACGAAGATGCCTCACCTCTGTTTTGAAAACCCCTGCATTGATAATTACGAGGTCTAGCTGACGGCCATCCAGGACTTTCACAATTGTATCACCTGCCTTTTCCTCTCCAACGTCAACGCCATCGATAACAGTAATATCATTCGGGAAATGATCAGGCGTCTGAGGTGGGGACCGCACAGTTGCGAAGACGTTTGAGCCGCGAGCATGTAAATTGCGAACAAGTTCGAGGCCAAGCCCTCGCGACGCTCCTACGACGAGCGAGGTCAATGGTGGCATGATTCAAAGTAGTAACGACCGTACGAACATGATGCGGGAAGTATGACGTCGAAGGATGTCGCGTGCTATTGCGCAAAGCGGAAAGCAGAATGCCATCCGAAATCCATCATCCATGTCAATGTCTTCTTGATAACCTATCACTATTTTCGATAAGATAGATGCGTTCTTCATAAGCATAATTCACGTCGTAGGAGAAGAGCAAGTCGCCAGGTACGACGTCGTGACTGCCAAAAGCAAAGTTGAGGAGTGACGTCCATGCTGCCCGACGCGTCTTTCTTGCTGTCAACCAGAATCAACCTCATTTACAGATAAAAGTCTTTCTCGTTCTCCGCTTCGTTTCTCTCTGCACTTGCCTCGATTATCTGTGCTTTAATATCGCCAGCCTCTATCCTTGCCTTGGATAATCCCTATGGTCTGTGCAAACCATTGTGCACTACGCAAAGTGGCGACTCTGCGTCGTGGCCTTCACACTTGAGATTTCTCGATTGTACAACACCCCAGGAATTCAAGATATCGGCGATATGACTCGCAAGTGCCTGTATTCTAACGTGGATCTGGTAAATACTCGGACTCTTCGTCTCATCGAACAGATGCCTAGCAAGGTCGATATTCTAGCCATACCTGCCTTGCATCAACAAAGCGCCATGCGCGAGCCATATAATGCACCAAGCCTTCACCAGGAAACCACCCTGTCTATTGCATGCCAGGAGAGTTTGACGTTCCCTTCTATACAACAGCAAGAGCTGCCACCACTTTCAAGACCAACGTCGGGATCGGCTCGCCACCGACTTTCTACACGCTCATTGTGGATACGGGCTCAGCAAATACGTGGATCTCTGCTCGGGGCTCTCATCCATACAAGCCAACAGAGACATCCAAGGAGTCAAACCGGAATCTAAGCATCAAGTATGGGACAGGGACCTTTCGAGGAAAACTGTGGTATGATCGTGTCACTCTTGGTGGACTGGTAGTTGAGAACCAAGGCATTGGTGTTGCCGACATGGCTTTTGGTTTCGAGGCCGATGTTGACGGGATCCTTGGGCTGGGTCTTGTAGAACTGACGAAGGAGTCCATCATTAAAGACAAAAACAGAGGCTCGGATGACGGGCCCGAGTCAATTCCGACCATCCTTGACAATCTATTTGCACAAGGAAAGATACCACAGAAAACAGTCGCGATTAGCTTTGACCCGATGTCGACAACAATCGAGGCGTATAACTATGAAGGCAGATTTCATGGCGTGCTGACGTTTGGCAAGACAGACCCGCAAAGATACTTAGGCAAGATTACCTATACAACTATTCCTCAAGGTAGATCGTCGAGTAAGCATTGGAGCTTGGAACAGAGAATAGTCTATGGCTCGCCCACCGAAGGCGTTGAGATCCTCAAGGATGGGATCGGGGTAATTGATACCGGTAGCTCGGTGGTCCATCTTCAAGCGCGATCGTTTGAGGAATACCGAAAGGCATCAAATGCAGAACTTAACATTATCAGCGGACTTCTATCCTTGTCCAACGACAACCGGGAAAAGTTGAAAAGCCTCTTCTTTGAGATTGGTGGAATGCACTTTGAAATTCCTCCCGAGGAGCAAATTTGGCCTCAAGCCTTGAATGACGTCGCAGGTGGGCCTCCGGATGATTGTTACATGGTGTATGTCGAGCTCGCCAGCGATTCTGGGATCGATATCTCACTTATAAATGGGTTCACTTGGCGTAAGTCATTCTTTGTCCAGAGAATTAAGGATGCTGATGGATGTGTATCTCTAGTTCAACACTTCTATACTGTACTAGATGCGGAGAATAGACGTATCGGTATTGCCAAAGCCGCATCCCGCAATACCTGGGATGGTAAACGAATATTACCATTTGACATCAACGTTCTTCCCAGACCTGTGGATATCAAGCAGACTACAGTAACACTGCTTACCTACTGCCTAATATTTTTTCGTTCGTACTTTGCTCCCTTCTTTCGAATCATATACTCTACCTAGCATTATGACGTCACGTTCTTTCGGGCTTTTTACAAACAGTTATATCCATACGATTACACGAGACATGCATGACGAAAGCATAAATATCCGAATTTCCCCCCAGCAATCGGAACGTTCATCAATACGTATACATATATCGTCACGGTGCGGACTTCGTCAAACTGTGGGGAGCGGCTCTGCTATTACTCCTTTCCGTTCCCTCGGACTCTTCGATCTCATATGGTGCTCCCCAGCCAGATGTGGTGTACGAGCCAGTGCTGCCAGCAATACAAGTGCCAGAACTCATGATCGAGAGATCGACCAGTTTCACTCCACCCATATCTGCACCTACTTTAGTATCCGTCCCGCCAGCCCGTGAGGCAGCTCCGCGAAGGTTGAGCGCGAGTCGACTGCCAACGATGCAATAGCTTGCGCGTAAGGGAGCAGTCAGACAAACTCCCAGGCCTGCGCGAGTGAGTGGCAAAGCGCATAGAAAGATGAGGTTGGACACTCCCAGTGCTATTATCAAATTAAGTCGAAATCTAGGACAAGGTGCGGTTGTTAGACGTACCAAGCATAACTGCATAATAGACAAAGCCATCTCGGATGAGAATTGTCAGCAGCCGATCGCGCGAAAGTTTATCTGTCAGAAATTGAAAGTACGATCATAATTAGTAAACCCAGCTTAAGCACGATAAAATAATGTGAGCCTCACATGAGCTAATAGCCTTTATGACTGTAAGCACGAAGATCGCTGTGTCGAAGACGATGACACCAGACCACGCGGGAATCGTGATTGTAGGGCTTATATGTAGCAAACTGCTATCACATCCGAGCAGAGGGCGAAGGCTAGCATTATGCGTCCGATGGGATTGGGAGTCAGATCTCAGTATGCCATGAAATAAGCTGAAGTACATACAGTTCATCGGAAATGACTTTGTTTGAGGACAATGATTCAACAAATAATTTTGATTAGCGTCTCGGAGGAAACACTTACAAGTAAAGTCTTTCATTATTCGGGACAGAGTTATAAGAATAGCAGAATCAGTTCCCTAACGTTGGGAGATTGGAGCTGAGCATGAGGAACCAACGTGCTAAGCGGAGTCAAAACGTACGAATGCAACTACTCCAAGCAAAATAATAATAATTCGTCTTCGATCCCATATGGCAATGGTTCGAAGAATAATAACGACTGCACATTATTTATATTAGCTATCATCCGAAATGATGTAAGGACACTTACTCTGAAGTGGTATCAAAAAGACCAGAGTTCCCCTGATGATTGACTTAGCAGGGGATGTTACGTCAAGAATGACTGGAAATACGAACCATACGGCAAGATACGCCTCAAATTTGCAACTAGACAAGCGACAAAGTGAGAAAAGAAGAAAAAAAAATGGCAAGCTCGAGCCACGAACAACTAAGGATGGTACTTAATAACGGTATTCTTCTTAGAGATAAAGAAGTACATACTGGTTCATTAGCATTGAGGTGTACAGAATCTTTACATCAGATGGATTTGAGTATGCACCTGACATTGAAAAATGGGTGCATAATGTACATACAGACCAACCAAAGAATCCCCTCAATCGCCACAGGATAACGGGTAACTAAGTACAATATTTTCCCGTGAGACCAGCGTGCAGGCCAGATGTAGGAAATCTATGCTTAATGAGTAGTTGAAAGCATACGGATTCACGAGAACAACAAGACCTCTCTGAAATCGACTTAGCTATCGAAGTAATAGGAAAACCAGATGACTACTTACTGGTCCATTGATATTAGGATGTCAAAGAGCATAGCTGTCACCGCAGCGACTATCATACTTCATTTCACACCATCGTTTGACATGGTTAGGTCGGTGGACATACCATCTATATACTTATTAATGGTGAAGTCAGATGAATAACCTTAGTTAGATATCAAGGCCACGCACCCTTGCAGTCTGTGAGTCACGAACCCCTTGATCAAGCAGTTTGAGTTGTTCCGAGAGAGGAAGATTGCCAATGTAATCAATAAGGCTCATGGCGAAATTTCAGAGAATGTGCAAAGGGAAATTGCTTTTATGGATCAAGTCTCCGAAGATTAGAACAGAGTGTGCTGTCCTTTGGGCCTTAAGTAAAGGTATTACAACTGAGTTGAATCATTTCAAACACAGTTCACTCTCAGCAAAGTTTGAGCTCTTCACAGAAGAGGATCGAGGCCGCCGACGAGGAAGTAAACATAACTCTTCAAATCAGTATCATGATCAGGCATCGCCGCATCGATTGCTAACTTTCCGCGCATGTGGGTAGTTTGTGCCTGATATCTCTCGAGTAGTGGCTGGTGTGAGTGTAATCAGCAAGTCTCAGGGACTCATCAAGTATCCACTTGGTCTTTATATAGCAACACGTTTCCATGTAAGGAATAGTTGCCGCGAAAGAACCCTTCATCACTACGTCTGACATCAATGATGGTGAATGGGACTACAGTAGGATGCCGGAGAACCTACGGCTGGCACAGCGTCCTTCATATATCAAGTTCTGAATCACTTCGAATTGCCAGCACACGCCTAAGAACCTATGCAGAGCAAGGAAACTTGGACCAGTGTTGAAATATATGGAGAGTATTGTACTGTGCAGTATCACTAAACATTTGATTACTGTAATGAGTTGTATATGCCCCAGTCAGGAGTCGAGCTCAATCAGTCCCTATTAATAAACATGCTACCTTATACTCTGAAACCAAGTGAGATGTTCAGGCAACCGTGTTAAATATCTAGACACTCGGAAAAACTTGCCAAATACCAGTTACCGGTCGTTTCGACCCGAATTTTAAATTTACCAATAGATTGACGCTTCATTGTTCGTTGGTACAGTACATGAACGTTTGGTCTGGCTGCTGACTACTGGGGTCGGGACGTATCAGTACCAGGCGAGGATCTGAGAAGATATGAAGATGCCATTCGCGCTGTCGGTAGTATGTTGTGACAGAAACAGCGACCTCTTTTCGACAACACGTTTAGATGCAGTTCACTGCGAGTCACAGGGAGAGAAGTTCATTGCTACACATACGTCGTTCAGAGCATGAACTCTTTTGCGTCGCGACAAGATGGAATGCTCCAAATACACGAGAGATGCTTTGCTCAGATTGCAATGCCGAAACAATAACTTCTGTGAGAATCGTAAGATCATAAAAGCGTTATACCAGTGTATCTATTCTATGATCCTAGCTTCGAGTATGCTAGGTTATCGCCGCTGCAAATTCTTCAGCCACGCTCATCCCATCTTTCAAAATTCCCGGCACGTATGCTATTCTGATAGGCGTCGTCAATAGTTGCAAATAATGAATCTAGTTGCTCAAGAGCTGCAATCAGGGCAGCGAGAGCCGACTTTCCATCTAAGAAGGGTATCAGCTGGCGTTGGCACGGCAGGCGACAGGCGAGATGGAATAGCATACCGTACATCTGCACCCTCACTTGAATTGCATTCTCTGATGGATGTGGAGCACTAAATACAGGTCAGCTTTTATCACGGAATAAATTAGGTAAAACGGAGAAGACGTGTAAAAAATAATCGACAATGAAAGTAGTTTGGAGGAACCGTTCCTGGCTCTCCATATGCTCTTTGGCGACCATGTTGCAATCTACCTTTGTCCTCGAGCAAACACGATTTGTGTAATAACTGGGGACCACACTGGGTACATAGCTTCCTCCATTAATGTGACGTGAATCCAACGTGCAACATGCGCTATGTATTTCCCACATAATTCGTGACAACGAGAGGAAACATGTAAAGGAGACATGATCGGAAGAAGAAAGAAAATCAAAACTGCTTAGAACGTGAGCACATACCTGTAGCCACAGAACTCAACGTCTGGACTGTTCATTTGGAGAGTTCAATAGCTTTGGTTGCAGTGGCATTACTTTCGCAAACGTACTTTTTCATAAGCATCCACCTAAGGGCATTTCCAATCGTATGACTCTCATCGTTTAGTCTGAAGGTTGCTGCCGATAGGTCGGGTGTAGCACCCTTCATCTGTCGCATAATTAGCAATACAGCATTTCAGAGAAGTTTGTCGAAGACTCACAATTGTGATTTTTGGCACTGACTCGGTCATGGATTTGGCGTTGGTCTAGAACAGACCAAACAATTTAGACTTTTGAGGCCTGGAAGTTCGAAGATGGATACTTTTACTAATTTTTCAAAGAAAGAAAAGGTAGCAGTAATCGCGAGAAGTTTTTAGTCTTCCTCCGGTCATGTGACGTTTTGTTCCGTGCGCCTCGAGGTTCACTTACTGTACTTTTAATTTTCCATAGACTGTTCCTAGTGGCGATTTTTTTCTTGTATAAAATGTGAAATTCGACACTGCTCCTCGACGTTTCCCGACCTGCAAGCAACATTCATGGCCTGTACTCGAGACTGCGGATAGTACTAGTACTCGACGAGGCGACTACGAAGTGAAAACCAGAAGGTAAGTTCTATTAATCGATTGTACTTTTCTTGTACTTTGTACTTATTAAATGGATAAATTTCTTGCTAAACTAGCAATAGAATAGCGCCCTATTCCCTAACCATTATTTTCCCACTCGTACCTTTCCCTTTTCTTTCGAAGCATGTGCTCTGCGTGGCATTACTATTATGTCGGCCTTCGTCAAACTGCGGTTGTGACCGTTATACGATCCGTTTTCGCCTCTTCAGACGCTTCGATCTCATTTAGGGCCCTCCGGTGAGATGAGACGCACGACGAAGAAGCGCCAGCAGGACAGGTACCAAATCTCATGTCCGATAGATCCTCACCACTCATATCTACAACTGCATTCGTACCAGTCCCGACAGTCCGTGAGGCAGCTCTGCGTAGGTTGAGTGCGAGTCGACTGCCGACGATGCAGAAGCTGGCACGCTGGGGCGCAGTCAAACAAACAGCCAGACCCGTGCGACTAGGTGGCAAGGCACACTGGAAAATGAGATTTGACACTGATAGTGCTATTCGTGGTTTGAGATACAGCAATTGTGGTTCGGATATTGTACGTACCGAGCATAATGGCGTAGTAGAAAAATCCATCTCGTATAAGGACTGCAAGCAACCGACTATTGTAAAGATTATCTGCGCGGGATTAAAATGTAATCGGAGTTAGTACATTTAGGTCCAGCTAAATAAAATAACGCGAGCCTTACACGAGCTAATAGCCTTTATGACTGTAAGCACGAAGATGGTTGAGTCGAAGGCAATAGTAGCAGACCACGCGGGAATCGTGATTGTAGGGTTTACAAATAGTGGGCTGCTATTACATCCGAGCCAAGGGCGGAGGCTGGTATAATGCATCAGATTCGGCAAGTGTCGGCTTTCAGTGTATCGTACATACTCATAAAGCTAAAATACATACGTTTCATCAGAACCGACTTGATTGGTACTTCTTTTAAGTGCTTCATTCCGGATAGCGTTTCGAAGAAAATGCTTACATGCAAAATCTTTTGTTATGCGGGACAGAGTTACGAGTATGGCAGAATACGTTACCTAACATTAGAATACTGTTGATAAGTATCGGATACTGACACGGCAAAGCAGGTCAAAAACGCACAGATGTAACTATTCCAAGCAGAATGAGGATTCTACGTCCATTGTCCCATATGGCAAGGGTCCGAAGAATAACGACAACTTCAAATAACTTGAATGAGTCCCTTCTCAAGATCAAGTGAGGCAACATACTCTGAAGTGGGAAGAAAAAGATAAAAGTCATCCTAATGGATGAATTAACAAGCTGCTACATTTAGAAACAAAGAATAATGCAGACCATAAGGCAATGTATGTTTCAGATTTGCAGCTGGACAGACAACAAGGTGAGAATAGTGCCAAAATGGTAAAATTTAACCACAGACAACTGGGAATGTAATTCAGTAAGGACGGTTTCTCAGCCATGAAAGAGTACATACTGATTCCTGAGCATTGATATCTACAGCATCTTTACATAGGATAAGTTCAATGGTTGACCCAACATTAAAATTGGATAAGGAATATACATACAGACTAGCCAAAGAATCGCCTCAAGTGCTACAGGATAGCGGATTACTAAGTATAATACTTTTCCCAGAGACCAGTGTGCCTCCCATATATAAGTTACCTATTCTAGATGAGTGGCTGAACACACAAGAGGTTATGAAAAGCAGGAGCAACCTCTCTACAATTGAGTAAGTTACTGAAGCATAGAGAAATCAAATGACTGCTCACTGGTCCATTGATAATAGGATGTCAAAGAGCATGACAGTCACTGCAGTGACTTTTATTTCTCAATACACACAATGTGGCCATGTTTAGATCTGTGGACATACAATATAGATACTTACGTTTGCTAAATCAGATAAGTTACTTTGACATGTAATAGAAACTGTATACCTTTGCAGTCTGTTGGTCACTAACATATTGATCAAGTAGTCTAATTTGTTCTGCGAGAGGAAAATTGTCAAGGTCGGTGATAACACTCATAGAGATATCTGAGCAAGAGTGCGCAGAAATTTCTTTCGCAGGGAAGGCTGTCGAGGGGTGGGGAGTGAGATATCCTTGAGGCCTTAAGTAAAGGGTAGAACTGTTGAGTAAAAGTTTTACAGACAAGCTTCGATCCTGGCTGAGGTCAAGGATCTTTATATATGCGGATAAACTCGGGCCTTGTAGAGAAACGTGTTCTATGTCAAGATCCGTTTCAGAAGGATATGTATCATCTATATTTGATATTGATAGTTATGATCATGGGCTGATGTAAGATTCCGGAGGAGATGCAACTAGAATAGCATTCACTATATAAATGCATCATCTTGAGTCTTTTATCCGCTTTAAAGCCTGTCCATAGCTCAGATATGTTCATGTTGAAATATGCTAAACCATAACAATTCATTGTGTTACACAGAATTTAATCACCAAAACATGATAAGCATTGCATCTGTCACAAATGGATTGAGCTCAAGCAGGTTGTAAGTCTTCTAAAACCTAGTGTAAGTTCAGCTTTGTCCCCCACTCGTACCTTTCCCTTTTCTTTCGAAACATATGCTCTGCGTGGCATTACTATTATGTCGGCCTTCGTCAAACTGCAGTTGTGACCGTTATACGATCCATTTTCGCCTCTTCAGACACTTCGATCTCATTTAGGGCACCCCGGTGAGATGTGGTGCACGACGAAGACATGTCAATAGCATGGGTATCAAATATCATATCGGATAGATCCACACCACTCATATCTACAACTGCACTCGTACCAGTCCCGTCAGTCCATGAGGCTGCTCTGGGCAGGCTGATTGCGAGTCGACTACCGACGATACAGGCACAGTCAAACAAACAGCCAGACCCGAGCGACTTGGCGGCAAAGTGCATTTGAAAATGAGATTGGACACTCCCAGTGCCTTTCATGGTCTAAGATGTAGCAGATATGATTCGGATATTATACGTACCGAACATGACTACATGGTAGAAACATCCATCTCGTATAGGGATTGTAAGGAGCCTGCTATGGGAAAGATTGCTTATAGGAAGTTAAAATGCAACCAGAATTAGTGAATTTAGCCTTGGCAAAATAAAATAATGCAAGCCCCACATGGAATAATAGTCTTTATGACTGTAAATACGAAGATGGTTGCGTCGAATACAATGGAACTAGAACATGTGTGAATCGTGATTGTATTTGGTCTGGATCAGAGCAACAAATGAGGCCTTGGAGGTGAATTTTAGAATGCTTTGAGTAATTGTAGGAAGTTTTCGTCTTGTCGTTAGTCATGTGGCTTGTTTGTTCTGACTGCCTATTCGAAATAGCAAACCTTGTTTCAACGACTTGCTCTTATCAAAGATATGTTTTTCTCATAGAAACTTGTTAAGACAAGACTACACAAGAGTATGTCTCAGATGATATAAACTACATTACAAGCAATGACGAACAATGATGGAATACCTTCCATCATACATTCTACATCTGAGACATACCTACATAGTATATATAGACTAACTAATCAACAGACAATGAAGCAAGCCACAAGAGAGCAAGCTGAGTCTACTATCCCCCCTCTTTGTGTGATCCCTCTAAGCCTCTCACTGTCAGCAACAGTATAGAGGGGACCTGAAGGCTCAGCAAGGGGACCCAGGTTACAACTATCCTACACAACAGAAATACAGAATGCAAGCACCAGAACATAGTTGGAACTCACAGAACAGACAGAGAGAGAGAGTGAGACAAGAGTAGAGTATATAGAGTGAGTCTAAGAGTACAGGACTACCTGGAGTAGACAAGATCAAGACTACAGGACCAGTCTGATCTTGTACACCTATATATACTAAACTA